CGCGGCGGACGGCGCCGCGCGCGGCGGCGCCGTGGGCGGTCGCGACGGCGGCGCCGACGGCTCGCGCGAGGGCCGCGGCGCCGGGTGCGCCGTGGGGAGCGCCGAGGGCAGGGGCGTCGGCCAGGGCGCCGGCGCCGGCGTCGGCGCGTACGACGGGCGCGCGGTCGTCGGTCCGTAGGTCGGCGCGTAGGTCGGCTCGGCGCTCGTCGGCGCCCGCGAGGGCCGCGCGGACGTCGGCGCGTAGGTCGACGGCGCGTAGGTCGGCCGGTCGCTCGGCCGCCGCGTGGGGTCGCCCGTCGGCTTCGCCGTCGGCGCCTCGAAGATGCCACGGACCGCGTCGGCCATGAGCGCGGTGATGACGTCGTAGCCCAGCGCGTTCGGATGGAGCGCGTCGCTGTACAGGGCGGCGTCGGGCGACGTCCCGCCAAAGGCCGTGAAGACGTCGACCGTGCCGACGGCGCCGGCCGCCTCGGCGACCGCGGGCATCGCCGCGGGCAGCTCCACGTTGATGACGTCGACGTCCTTCCAGGATCCCGACGCCTCGAGCTGGGGCGGCGGCACGGTGACGAGCACGGGCGCGTCGGACGTCGCGCGGAGGAGCGCCACGAGAGCGGCGTAGGCGTCCGTGAACAACGAGACGTCGTCGGACGGCCAGTAGTGGCTCTTCGCGTCGTTCGTGCCCAGGCCCACGATCCAGAGGTCCGCGGTCGTGAGCTCGAAGGCTCCGAGGCCCGCCTCGCTCTCGACGTAGGCCTGGGGCGTCGTCATCGCCGTGCGGCCCGACCTACCAAGTGCGACGGGGGTCGGATTTCTTCGCATCTTCAGGCGAAATTCACGCGAAAAAACACTCCTGTCGCTCGACGCTGGGCCCGACTGGCCGGCGTTGACAATTTTATAACGCGCGCCGAGCTCGGCCTGCAGGAGCTCAGGCCACCGCGCGCCTCCGTGGCCCCCGGCCGTGATGGAGTCGCCGCAGCAGACGACGACGACGCAGGCCGGGTCGTCGGCGTCGCAGCCCTCGTCGGACGACGCGAAGCGCGGGGCGAGCAGCGCGAGCGCGGCGAGGCGCAGGAACGGGCCCATCGCGGGCAGCCCCGGCGTCGCGCCGCGTCGGCGCGGGGCAGCCCTACTCGTCGGGGACGCTGGCGGCGCCGAACGCGCCGCGGCGACGACCACCGGCGGCGGCAGTCTTGGCGCGGGCCGGGCGCGAATCAAGAGTCACTGCACCAAGAACTCGCGGTGGCGTTTTAGAAATCTTTGGAAGGAAGTCAAGGGCAGCCTCAAACAGCAACAAAGTCGGGCAGCCCTGGGAGAACACGAGTCTGGGCGGCATCTGTTAGAGAGCATGTTCGGCCTCCGGCGCGTGCTGCTACAGTCCTCCCGGCGCACGGCGGCGATCCGCTGCGCGTCGGCCGTCCCCTCGGAGTACCATGCGCCGGGCTCCCACTCCGCGGACCAGTCGCGCCGGGCCGCCTGGCGGTCCTACCTCGCGTCGGGCCGGGGCAGCTGCAAGCTCTTCGAGGTCATCGACGTCAATCGCAGCGGGACCATCAGCGCCCTCGAGGTCCAGGGCTTCGTCGAGTCCGTCGGCGGCGAAACGTCGGGCGTCAACGCGACGGCGTGGCACGCGCTCGAGCTCATGAGCGAGGACCACGAGCTCACCCTCGAGGAGTTCCGCAAGTGGCTCGTCGCCGCGACCAAGTTCGCGCCGGAGACCGACGCCATCGTGCTCCAGTCCTCCAAGGCCGTCGAGGAGGGCGCGACGAAGGGCGCCTACGCGATCAACGCGAGCAACATGTCGCAGGCGCTGCGCAAGATGCAGTACGCGGTCCGCGGCGAGGTCGTCATGAAGGCCGACGCCCTGGAGCAGGAGGGCAGGGAGCAGCGTCTCGCGGTCGCGACGATCTTCGAGAGATTTTGACCGGGAAAACGATGAAGACTCGTCGTCTCGTAGGCAAGGAGATCCTCTACACGAACGTGGGCAACCCCCACTCCGTGGGGCAGAAGCCGCTCACGTTCTTCCGCCAGGTGCTGGCCCTCTGCGACCTGCCCGCGGAGCACGGCGTCGACCACCCGAACGCGTCCGCCATGTTCCCGGCCGACGCCATCGCGCGAGCTCGCGACATGCGCGCGGCCATCGGCGACGCGGGCACGGGGTCCTACACGAACTCCCAGGGCATCGCCCAGTTCCGCGGCGACGTCGCGCGGTTCATCGAGCGGCGCGACGGCCACCCGGCGCGGCCCGAGGACATCTTCCTCACGAACGGCGCGTCGTCGGCCATCCAGCACGTGCTCACGGCCTGCTTCGCGTCGGACCACGACGCGCTCATGATCCCGATTCCGCAGCGGGCGCTCGGCGTCCGATCGCGCGCGACGCGCCCTCTCGCCGCGCTTCACGCGCCCGCCACCCGCGCGATTTCAGGTACCCCATCTACTCGGCGCTGGTCGCCTTGCTCGGCGGCCGCCAGGTCGGCTACGAGCTCGACGAGGACGCGGGCTGGGAGGTCCACGTCGAGACCCTCGAGACGCAGCTCGCGAGCGCCCGGGCCGACGGTCTCACCGTGAAGGCCCTCGCGCTGATCAACCCGGGCAACCCGACGGGCCAGGTCATGTCGCGCGAGGCGCTCGAGGGCGTCGCCCACTTCTGCAAGCGCCACAACATCGTGCTGTTGTCGGACGAGGTCTACCAGCGCAACGTCTACGCCGACGACAAGGAGTTCGTGTCCATGAAGAAGGTCGCCGTCGAGTCGTGCCCGGACCTGGAGCTCGTGTCGTTCCACTCGACGTCCAAGGGCTTCATCGGCGAGTGCGGCCGCCGCGGCGGCTTCATGGAGCTCTACAACGTCGACCCCTACGTCCACTCGCAGATCTACAAGCTCGCGTCCTCGGGCCTCTGCTCCGGCGTCGCGGGCCAGATCATGACGTCCCTGATGGTGAACCCGCCCGCGGAGGGCGACGCGTCCTTCGAGAGCCACGCGGCCGAGGAGTCGGCCATCTTCGAGTCTCTCAAGCGCCGCGCGGCGTCCCGTGGCCGCGACGATTTTCGAGAGACGTGCGGTGGGAACGCAATGAGCAATCGCCACCGTCCTGCTTGGTAGGCGCCGCGCGACGCTCATGGTCGACGGCCTCAACTCCATCCCGGGCGTGTCCTGCCAGCCGGCCGAGGGCGCCATGTACGCGTTCCCTTCCGTCGAGCTCCCGCCGAAGGCGATCGCCCACGCGCTCGCGACGGGAACGTCGCCGGACAACCTCTACGCGCTGTCCCTCCTCGAGCAGACGGGCATCTGCGTCGTCCCCGCGAGCGGCTTCGGCCAGGCCGAGGGCCGCGCGGGCTTCCGCACGACGTTTTTACCCTCGGAGGAGGCGCTCGGCGCCGCCGTGGAGAAGGTCGCCGCGCACCACGCCGCCTTCTGCGCCGAGTGGGCCTAGGGCGCCGGTCCGTAAGTTTGTGCGCTGTTTTACGATGCGCGCAGCGGCCCGTGGGCGCCGGGCCTCCGCCGGACGACGGGCCTCCGCGTCGTCCGCAGCGCGACGCGCGTCTCGCGCCGCGGCGCCGCGGCGCGCGCCGTCGGCCGCGCGGCGTCGGCCATGCCGGCGCGGTTGACGAGGTAGTCCGCGCCGGACCAGAGCGTCGTCGCGGCGACGCCGCAGCAGAGCGCGTCGACGTGGTGCGGCGCGATGCCGAGCGGCGCGGCGAGGGCGCAGCCCTTCAGCATGGCCGTGCCCAGCAGGCCGAACTGGAGGGCCGTGTTCGCCTTGGACACGAATGAGGGCGTCGCGTCGATGCCGATGCTCCGCGGGTCCATGCCGCCGAAGAGGAAGAACCGCGCGTCGTAGGGCCTCGACGGGTCGCGCGCCTGCCGCAGCTTGTAGCGCGTGCCGAGGATCAGGCCCGCGTCGCGCGCGACGACGAGCGCCGCGAGCTGCCAGGGCAGCTCGCCGCGCGCCGCGAGGGGCACGGCGAGCGCCGCGACGAGCGCCTTGTCGGCCATGGGGTCCAAGAACTTGCCGACGACGGACGTCTGGTTGTAGTTCTTCGCTATATACCCGTCGAGCCAGTCCGTGAAGGCGAGGCCCGCGGTGGCGGCGACGGCCCAGTCGTGGTGGCCCTCCCAGACGAGCCAGCCGACGCCGGGCGCCGCCGCGATGCGCAGCGCCGACAGCGCGTTGGGGATCGTGTAGAGCTCGTAGAGGTAGGGCTGCGTGTCTTTTGTCGTGAGGCAGCGCGCGTGTTGCTTTAGCGATTGACGCGCTGCTCGTGCTACTGACGGTGCGAGGCGTGCTGCGAGCATCGTTGCGGTCGCTGCACGAGGCGTGACGACGAGCTGCGCGAGCTGCGAGGTAGAGCCACAGCCCGGCGATCCTGCATCACGATCCGGGGGCACAGTGCAGTGCCGGCGCCAGTGCGCGCGTCGATGGTCGTTTCCATGGTGCCAAATTGGCAGGTACCGGCAGGTACGTCTAAGGAAGGCCCCAGCAAAGTCTCACGCCCAACCGTGAGGGTGTTGCAGCGATCGGATGGCGTTCGTCCGATCCCTAGAGGAAATCCAGCCAAAATCGGCACTTACGCGGCGACATAGGGGTCGTTTCCGGCGCTCTAAAGGGCCGCGCGCACGTCGCCATGACCATGCGCGACGGTCCGGCCAAAAAGACCGCGCGACGGCAGCGTTTTCTCGTCGGCGAAAAAAACGCGTCTCCGAAAACGACCCCGAAACCGTCGGCGTGTCGCGGGACGTCGACGGGTCCCAGGGTCGCGCGCTTTGCGTCGCAGGTGTTGTGGTAGACGAGGGCGGCCTCCGCAGCAGCCGGAGATCGTTGGAACCGCCGTCATCGATGCGAACTCGCCCGCCAGCGTCTCGCTGCGCGCCTTGAGCGCCAGTCCGCGGTCGAAATACGTGCGTCGGGACGATGTTCGACGTCGCGCCCCGTCCGTAGTGCCTTCGTGGACCCTCCGAAGCGCTCGCAGCAGCCGCCGTAGTCGCGCGCGGCGCGGAAGGCGGTCCCGTCGACCGACCTCCACTGGTTTGCACTGCGGAGCGCACGGGCTGGTTTCGCGACGCGTTCGGGTTCCCGCGCGTCGATACGCTGCAGAGGCA